TAAGCTCGTAACCAAGTTAACTCGTACCCTGGTCAACTTGTACCAAGTCAACTTGTACCGTGTCCCCGGTCAACTCGTACCCCAAACAACTGGAGAATGACTCGACAATTTTACTTACACCGGTGTATTCCTCAGAGTTTGCACTTTCGTACGAGCATGAAACAGACGGGCTCTTTGACATGTCAGAGATCAGTCATATCAGTTGGCCTTTGTACTTTGTACTTTGTCTTTAGCATTACATCCTGTTGAACGTGTGTACATGTACGTGCTAACAATGAATGACATGATTAACCTAACAGGTGGCGAGTTACCGAGTGCCGTAGGCGTAGACAGGCAGAGCAAAAATGTTGGGGACAAGTGTAAAGCCTACATTTTGGACAATGTAGGCCTCACTGTCCCTTCAATTATGAGGAGAGTTAGATTTAATTTGTGTTAATTAGTTTTAATACTGCCTGCCCTGATGTAGATTTTGATTTCGTACTTCTTATGGGGCAACACAACCACTGATGGTTTAATTGATGATCCTTTGCTGGTTCTGCTAGTAACTGAATATGTAACTATACAGGCACCTGTCCTCAAGAACTTTTGGAAAGATGTTGAAGGAAATTAATTTGATACTATAGACCTTTTTCCTGTGATGTCACAATTGTGCTGGACCTCTGATGTGTTGTGATGGTGATGAGTGCATAACGTTGTGATGGTGATCTACTTATTCAAGATAAACTAGTCAAGCATGCAGCATTCGCATGTGCGCTTGTATGTTGAAGCTGCCCATAGGAATATGTGTGATCACCTTGGCCAAGGCAGTCGACATGTATTGTTTACATTTAGCGCAATCCAGTCAGATGGTTGAAAAAGGTCTACAGCACTGGGTACTATAGATTGGTCATTCGAAGAACTGACCAGAGACAAAGTTGCATGTATGTTGAGTCACACAGTACAACACTGCTGTAACAAGCACGAGGGAGGTCCACAACAAGTGTTGGTGTAGCTGTCATTTGATGCACTGCTGTTTTTGATGCAGCCCACTTGTACCGAGATGGTACATGCTGAATATGATCAAAACAAGCAAAATGTGTCACAAAAGCCATGTTCCCATTGGACTTTCTCCTCGCTGCAACATTCCCTCGTGTCAAGCTACCGCGCATTCCCACCTGGACTTTTTTTTATGTAACAGAACGTTCATTCGCTGTACAAGACTAACTGAATACATTGCCTGTACTCTCCAACTTACATGTACCTTTGACCTAAGCGGGATATGATAAAAATTGGCAAAATCTGACAAATTTGGCTAAATCTGCCACCTTTTAAGTGGCGATCGAACAAGATGTATCTGTACACGTGCGTTTATACTAGTAGCTTTGTTGGGGCACACTTCACTACCTATGCATGCCGTAATGCTGGTGTGCTATACACACGGGAACTGGTAACCACACAACCATCTCATGTGCCAGCTGTCAATCTCTGTGTAGTAATAATAACAATAATAGTAAGTCTTATAACGCGCATTTTTGCAAGTTACAATTCACGGCAAGGACAACTCCAGAAAACAAGTTACCATGAGCTAATGTGAGGAGAACAGTTGAGTTTTCAGTTTATCCCTAAATTTGTCAAAGGAACTGATGTTGTGGATGTTACGTGGTGAGGAGTTCCAGCATCGGGGACCAGATGCTGAAAAGGCCTGTTTCGCGAAGCCAAGCCATGATAACAGCGGTGTTTGTTGTCATGGCAGTGTGCTGTACTTTTCAGGACTTACAATGCCTTGATATCTCCAGTGGAATTTTTTTGAAGTCTTAGGTTGATTTCTTTGCCTCTATACCTTAGAATTTTCAAGCGCTAAACACCACTTGTAAGATCATATCCAAGGAATCGTAGCAAGGTACATGTATGGTTTTGTGTAACCCTGTCTTTAGTCTCTTCAAACTTTCCAAAATGCCGTCAAATCTGCATGCACTGATCATTTGTTCACAGGTGAAGGCAATTGAGAAACGAGATGCAGTACTGACCCCAAAGCAACAAATTGACCGACTTCTCCGTCCCGGCAGTACATACTTCAATCTCAACCCTTTTGAGGTAAACAAAATACCAACAAACCTAGTCACTATACAAACATTTGTTGGTGCTACGTCACTGTCAAAGTTTTCACCAACCAGTGGTTGTGTGTTCTGACGTTTCATCTGTTTTTAGCAAATTGTGTAGAGCTCTATAGTTTTTACTTGTTAGATTGGTCGAAAGTTTCTTTAGAAATAGCTCCAACAAAAGGAGTCAAGAAAATCTCTCCACCATTTGGGGAAACCACTATCTTTTAAAGGGCTCGATGTTTTCCCCTTTATTGGCCCAAACGAGAAACTACATGTATTTTTTTACTTGGCCTGTGAAAAAAGAGAAGACTTGACAGCAGTTACTAGTTCTTATGTGACATGAAACCAGTATCTACACGTATGGTTTTATCGCTGTGCTGTAGCCGAGTCCTTTAATTTAAGCAACCTCAATCCTTGCTTTCTTTTGTCACAGGTCATACAAGTACCACCAGAAATGCCTCCGGAAGAAATCAGAAAAAAGTTCAGGAGGGTACGTAAATGACTCCAGTATTTCCTCCAGATTGGATTCAACAATTGTGATTTCTTAAAGTTGCTTCCAAAGGCATGAGTGATAAGCTTTGATGATTTGATGTCGTCCGGTTCTTTGAAGAACCAGGGGACTCTTGAAAAGGGGTTAGATGTATGGTTCTTAAAAACCTTTGCTTTTTTCATGGTTTTTGCCCGTGTCAGGGAATTATGTACATGCATGACACTTTGTGGCCTAAATCACCTCTTCCTGCCAAGAAAAATCAGACGAGATTTTTTTTGGAGGAAGTTCCTGATTGTCATGATTGTGGGCATAATCTGCTGCCTGTGTTGGCAGCAAGTGTGTTGCCATTGTCAACATGTTTTGCCGTATTTCCTCATTTGCAGTTATCTATTTTGGTACATCCCGACAAAAATGTGGACGACAGGGAACGGGCACAGAAAGCCTTTGAGAGTAAGTGCACGATTCAGGTGTCATGTTTTAATCTGGAAATGGTTTTCCTTGTCAGGCTTTAAGCATACACGTTATCACATGCCCTTGTTGAGAGGTTTGCAGTTTGACACAAAACGTGCCCAGGCATCATCATCTGCCAGTGCAAAGATACATGATGTCAGTGTGAGGACTGTTACACTTCTTGATCTTAGAATGCTCTGTAGATTGTACAGTGTGTAATGCAATTTGGGAAACGGATTTATCTAATTGTCCACAAGATTCTTGGCTTCGCTTTTGCATGTCTTTCATTTAGTTTGAGTTACATCTACGTAGCACATTGACTTTTTCAGAATGAGATTAAAAAAAAGTCCAATATCTGACCATAACTTTGTGTTACTGTTTGTTTTCTTTGTGTATATATGTTCATGAAGTTCATTAGTATTGAAGAGAAGTTATTTTACAATTAATCTGCCCAGAGCTTGTTTTGTAGGGGTTTATTAAATCACTCCTTAAAACAAATTATGTCCCTTGGTCTTCGTATTGCCCTTTGTAAAATTGTTTAACACCATTTTATTTTTGTGCAAATAGTTATGTTGCTTTTCTCAAAATTAGATGTCGATTTGCATAATCTTGGCAAGGAAACTAAATAAACTGTTACTTGTTGCTAGTAACATTTTTCTTTGATCAGGAAGAGAATTAACAAAAGGCCATCAACCGAGGAAATCTCTGAAGCAATTCGAGATTGTAGTATGGTATTCGACCATTAATAGACCTCATGGGGCAACCATTTTGATTTTCTATCATTAAAAGCAATGAAACCAAACCGAGACTGGAAGGAAAAATAGCCTGTTCCCTTTTATCAGTGTGAAAAGTTGTATTACTATTGCCAATGGGTCCACAGGGAACAAGACAAACATGACAGCATCTTGATAAATTAGGTTAGGCTTGCGGTTGCACCATGTAGAAGAAAATATCTCTTTTATGAGTGTTTGGTTCTGGGAAAAACTGACGGGGAACACTCAACGTTCCGAACAGTATGCTCTGTTTGTCTTCAAGAGAGTGACAACAGTCTGTCAGGACTTCTTTTCAAAATTAAGCATTGTCCAGGACTTTCCAGGATGGGTATAAACTTCCGGGATTTTCCAGGTATTAAGTCCTGGAAAATTCAAACTTTTGACCTGGAAAAGTCCTGGCATTTTTTTTCACAAGGGTGTATGAACCCTGGTCTATAATGAGTCCTTTTCTTGCCTCACCCATGCAACTTCCATGACAAAATTCTTGCTCCTTGTGACTCTCCTGTAGTTCTGAGTAATGCCATGAAGGACATTGAAGACGAGGAAAAGAGGAAGAGTATATTGGCCATCATCCAAGAAGCCAAAGAGAAGAACGAGTTCTTGGTGAGCATCCCGCAGTTTGGAACGTTGATCTGAAATTGTTCACTTTAAATAGTTGTGGCACTAACGCAGTCTTCACTTTGGAAGTTTGCAGTCCAACACTCGACGTTCACTTGGTCCTGAATATCAACGCTAGGATTGAAACATCTGTTAAGCCTGGGAGTCAAACAATTGAACAATTCTAAAAAGTCTAGTGCTTTCCTGTAGCCCAAGCTGTTTGATTTGGAAATCTTGGGTTTCTAAGCACATTTTGTTTTCAGCTGCATTTGTGTCTGTAGTAAGGTTATAAAGCAGTTAAGTCCCAAGTGATAACTTTATTTTGGTCGGAACCTAGTGTGAATCCTATGCCAAGACTTGCCTCTGTTTGGGGAACTGTATAACCCGTACATTGTAAGTCAGCATTCAAGGAGCATCCAGCATAGTACAGAAGAAGTTACCTTTATTGCACCGATATCAAACATGTGTTCTTAACTGCAGATTGTGTTGTCAAATCGCAACACCCTATTGGTCAAATTTGATGCGCATGTATCACCTACATGGAGGTCGTTGTCACCACAGTAATGACTCGTTAATCTGGTCGCCAGAAGAGCCTGTAAGGAAACAGTGTGCCCACTTTGTTGTGTTTGTAGACCCAAGAACAAAACAGGTCCGAAACATGCAGATTGTTTAGACCTGGCCTGACTGAAAACCAGTTTTAGAGGCATTTTTTGGCTTGCGGTTATTTGCCACAAATTGAACAGTCAAGGAAAGCATCTACAAAAATCCTGCTTAAAAGAGAGTTTGCAAACAACAAAAATGGAGTTTTTCCTCGTATCTTGTTGTCATAAAAAACAAAGGACCACCCACGCTGGGTATAATTTAAACATGCCCCGATGCATCTAACGCAATGCCACACCTGCAGGAGGGTTATCGGAGGTTCATGTTTTTTTTCCCTTGGCAGCTAGAGGAGAAGAGAAAGAAGAGGAAGAAGGAAGGACTATCTACGGAGATTGACGAAGATGACCCCGAAAAGGTGGGTGAGATTGCCCTCCCCATTAACCCTAACCCTCCTCAATCCTTCACCTGTTGGAGGACTGAGGAGTGTTAGGGTTAAAGGCAGGTAATTGTATTTCTCGTCCTGTAGTCAATGCACAGAGGGTCTAGAGAGTGGCCAAATGCTTCTTTTCTGCCCAGAAGGCTTGAGATTTTTATCTTTCAAACAATGTCAAAGTTCCCTTGAGCCAATCGTGACTTTTATGTAAATAATTGCCATTCTGTGGGGTTTCTTTAAATACTTGCATTCTCCCCATAGGAGGGTTTCACATTTGTGCGTCGCCAAGAGTTTGCAGCGCGTTGGCCAATCACAGTTCACGAAATCTGTTGACCCAATGCGTGTTTGGGAAGGGTTGACAGATTTCGGGCGTTGTGATTGGCCAATGCGTTGCAAACTCTTGGAGGCGCACTATTGTGAATCACCTGTAGTGGTATTTCTCAGACTCGGTGTTGTTTCTGTTTCACATGATGCATAGTGAGCTTTGTCTGAGCAACCAGCAGCTCCAGATTGGACTGGTGTCCTTAAGCCATTCACATCCGTTGTAAACAGTGTGTTGGTACCGGACTTCTCATTGTCTAACTACTGTCAAGCTTACCCTTTGTCATGTGATGCAACAAAAGGGCTCAATTCTAAAGTACAATGTATTATTTACAGCGGTTAGTGGTTCTTTGCTAGTGGCTTATGGGGAAAGTTTTGGCTTTATTTCCAGCACCAGGTTGTGCCAAAGTCTGCCTCGGATATTTTCTTCTGGGCCCCCTGAGAATACTTAAAATACTGCAGGAAATAGATCTGTGTGTGAGAGAAAAATTATTGGTGTTGAAACCTGATCTCATTTTCAATATTGGAGGCGAATTTCATGGGACTGGTCGGGGGGGGGATTATTATACTGCTTGGAAAATTTTTGTGTCGAGTAGAAATCTGCTCGGAACCAGTGGTATGCCCTATACGTGGCGTGAATTATAAGATGGTAGCCGTTTTTTGGTTAAGCAAAGGAATTTCTATTCTCAACAGTTCTGTTGGCCAAAATGTCTGAGACTCGGTTGCACAATGAAACCTGTCTTGGCCGGTCTTTGTTGACAGTTCAAAGAGACGTTGTACAAGACGACAGTCAAGCTCTTTGCCGACTACGAGATTCGGCGGCGGGAGCTGGCTGAGCGAGATGCGGTGCTGAGGAAACGGGAACGAGAGGAGGAGATTGCCGCCGAGGAGAAGGCCAAGAAGCAGAAGGAATGGGAGAAAGAATGGGAGGTACGTAAAGGGGCAGAAAATGGGGGGGGGGGTTGGCTGGACTGAAGCATCAAAGGAATGCCTGGTTAACCACTTCATCCCAGTTTACCCGTAAATACACAGGGATTTCCTGTGTCGTAACACAGAGGACGTTAGAGCACGTTCGGATGAATTCTGTATTCACGTTTATACTTGCCCACACATTTAAGTGATCCTCATCGAGTGTTATATACACACGAACAATGAAACTATTCCATGAGGATGGGCGTGCGAAGCCTTCAAGCAGCCTCGAGCCAGGGCTGGGTGTTGTAGTAAGTTTCGCTCCACGACACTGTCTGAGTTTAAAACAAGCAAGGATATGGTAAGATATGTTACTCAGTCTTGAACTAATGACCATCAAGGGTCAGTTCTTGTAAGGTCCAGCATTGTAAAGGACTACAGTCGTGGTATCTTGTCATTTTAAAAAAGAAAAGTTGGCATTTTTTTGGGGCCCAAAATAATGTAAGTGTTTGCGACAATCTCATGGAGGAATAAAAGCGTCAGCAGGTGGTTCATGTGGCTGTAACAATGGCTCTTTTCTTTAATCTGGGTAGAATATCGGGCAAAAAGTGAGCTTTTTAGATTTATCATTCAATACCATTGAAAATTCCTTGTGCTTCATAAACAGTGAGATATATATCTTGAGATTATGTTGGAGAAAATCCTGTTTAACTGCGCATGTACGGATCAAGACTAGATGCTGAAGGGGTAGAGCTGGACTGAATCACCAATGTGATTTTAACATAGATGTCTAAAAGTTTTATTTTAACTTGCCTGAAATTTGACAGCCCAGACTGATAGCATGTTGGGTGTAAGATCAGTGATTCTCTCTTGCAGAAAAGTCGTGATGATCGCGTGGAGAGCTGGCGCGACTTCACCCAGGGAGGCAAGAAGAAGAAGGCCAAGACAAAGAACAGGATGGCCTTCAAGCCTCCCAAACCCAAGCTGGAGCAGAGATGATGAACGGTCAAGTCGACGATGTACATAGACTTTGTATACACAGGTACCCCCTAACTCAACCCAATCAAATCCATGGGCTCAGTCTGACGGTGTTACGATCGAGGTTTGCTTTCTTTGTCTCACCATCATCAGATTAAAGTTTTTTACTCGCGATGATAGGGTCAAGGGTTTCAAATCTAGTTTGTGGCCATGTGTTTTGTCCTCGGGCAATCCACTTTACCCCCACTTTCCGCCAGGGGATTGACCTACGATAGACTGGTTTCCATCCAGGAGAATACGTGAATATTCTCATTTATCTCAAGCCGAAGAAACGAGAGTTAAAATGCTAGACCGACGAGCCATTTGTGCTCAGGATAGTGCTTACGTCATTTCAAAACTTCCACAAATTAGAGAAGCAAAAATATTGCCGTCTCTAAAAGTGGTCGTCATCGCAGCATCATACATATGCCCAGATATGTTTTTTGGGAGGTATGTACATGTACCTTACCCTCAAAACCGGCTGACGGGCTGTTGTTGCTGTCTGTTGTATACTTGTCCTGAGAGTTGATTATCGGTCAGCATTATTTATCATATCTGACCATGGCTGGCAACCGTTTGTTACATTTCTGCCCAAGTCAGCACAGACTGTTCTGCAGTACCATTGACTCTGGTACTCCTTGGAACGTCCCGGATGTAAATATTGGAAACTGAGAGCCCTCCAAACGGCTGCGATTAACATGCTTTTCTACTGGGCCAAGTCAAAGAAAAAAATCCACAGCTTTTTTTTAACCATAGGGTAGTAATGGAATGATGGCTGTAATGCTCAGTACTTTCAGGCCCTAGGGGTGTAGCATCGCCTTTTCCCATGATGCTATAGATGTCACAGCACAGAGATCAAGGATATGATATCTGTCGGAATGCGTATTGTGACCTTCAGTTGTTACGGTTTGGCAGCTGTTTAAAATATATGCATTCTTTATTTTTATTAGGAAATTTTCCACACATTGTGCTTCTGCTTGAGTTTTTATCTTCCCAATGCTCACCACTCTGGGAAACTGTTGGAGCCGTTCGGTTTTTTTTAGAATTAATGTTGGAAGTAGGGCCTACAGTACCTAATGGTAATTTTTTTCACAATCCGTAAGATGTGCTGTCCACCAAAAAGGACTTTTATGGCCAGTATATGAGCTCTGTCAAGGATTTTTCACCACCAAATACATACAGCCTTTAACCATTTAACGTACAAATACATAAGTTTCCTTATTTGTTCAACTGAGGATGTGTACACTCGTTTAAGAATTCTTTTTTCATTTCCGCTGTTGACATATTAGCGCGTTGTGCTTGGTTGGGTCAAAGCGCAACTGCAAGGTTGAGGAATTTGCTGGTGAAAAACACCCATCCCCGACAGCTTTTTGGGTAAGACACTCTGACGATAAGTGGTTAATATCTTGGCATTTTCATATCACGATTATCTAACAAGCAGTATCCCAAAAGCTCTGCTTGACAACTCAGATCCAGTTTCTATAGTATTTCACGTCTGTGAATTTTCGTTGGGAGTTTGTCAATAATAAAATATCCCTTGGACAAGTAAAAAAAAAAATCAGTAAAATAAGACCTGAGGGTTAGTTTTATATTTCCTGTGTCTTTTGATGCACTTGTAGCTAGTGTTAAATGTTTTTGACTAAAATGGTGATTTTAAAGGGAGGTGAAAGTCAATTTTATGTAATCTTTAGTTTGAGAAAGTTGCAGTATTTCTGATCTGATCTGGGTTTGATTTTTGATACAAAGAGTCAACGTTAACCAGTATTCTTAACAATATTTGTTATGATGATGAATAGTAATAAGGCACAGAACAGTTAGTTGTATTTGATATGCCAGTGTAAAACAACATGACCAACACAGCAAAAAGAAAGATTTATGGGGTGAATATCTCCAAAGGTTTATGAGGCTTTGGTAGTTTTGGAAGTCTGCTCTGTGAAAATTAGACATGCCATAGTGTCAGGGCACTCTTTAGCGATGCTTTGTTGTGTACTGATGATAACAGAGTGAAAGGAGCTCGGAAATCTAGACTAGTTCTGAAATGTTTCTTAGTGAAGTCTTGATTTTAAGGTACTGTACATGTAGCAGTGGGAACTTGTGTGAAGTGGGAGCGTTTGCTGCAGTTTTCGCCCTTTCCCCCATGAAATTATCTTTCTTTGCTAACTTGTATCTGCAGGCCTGCAGCTGTAGTGGAAGTTTTTCAGTCCACTGAAAGTGATAGCTTTATTACGATTTGCAAATTGTATGTTTGATTGCGCTCGTTTAAGAGTGCTGTAAGTTTGATGTGATTGCTAGCTATTCTGGAGTCGTTTAGAGCAGGGAAAGGCGAGTAGGAACTTTCAGGCAACTTTTCGTTAAAAAAAAAGCAAAAAGACAAAAGGGTTTTTATGTTCAGACTTTAGCAGAATCAGTTTCCAAGATCTAACAGTTTTTGTCCATCTTGTGTCCCAGTTTGAAAGAAATTGGTTTATACTTCGTTGAAATAAAAACATTGATACAGCTATGGAGTGGGGCAGTTTTGAAATGTGTATTATGAGTGAAACAAAAAGCTGCATAGAATGTCAGAGGTGAAAAATATGAACTACATACACTCATTGACTCAAGCGAAGCTAGGCCGAAAATGAAAACAGTTGCAGTCGAGCTAAATTGAGTGTGCGCTCCGCAGCCCCTATCCCGGTAATGTAATACGTTGTATATACTTCCAAGCACATGGTTGTCGCCGCTCCCTGGATTTTGATATCAGAGATTTACCTCGGTGACCGCGCTGTGACCTTCCACAAAGTTTTTTGCACTTCAGGGTGCAAACTGACTTATTTGACAGTGAAGTGTTTTAATGTTTTATAAAAGATCAACAGTGTGGAAAAGTGATGTCCACATTTTGCAAGTGCCTGCACTTTAGCTCTGACCAGAGGATCACCTGTCAAAGCCTGACTACAACAGCTAATTTGTTCCAATTTTTCTCAAGTTGGCAGACTCACTAAGCATTTTGGTTACATTCAGTGCACCCAAGGAATCAATTTGGAAACATGTTATTTGTGTATCAGGCATAAATTGAGTTTTGGGCATCGAATGTAATGTATTTTGCTCGTCTGTGAAGCATTTACTTGTAAATGTCAATCGTAATCAAATTTCTGAAGTCGAAATTTCAAATAATTCTGCAATGGAGTTGGTCTTGCCAAATCAATCAATTATGGCCAAACAAAAGATTCGCCGAGAATTACTCAAAAATACATTTTTGGATGAAATGGAATGTATTTGATCGTCTTTGAGGCATTACCATGTTAGTTTAATGAAATAAATAGATCTGTAAGTGATAAGCCGTCCAAAATAATAACTTTTGACCAAAAGTTTCCTTTTCTTTAAATCACACTTCAGAACTTCCATCAGGACATGGCCCATCAAGATTCCAAACATACTATGTATAGGAACTTGTGCGTTGAGATGGAAAGAGGCTTCACTAACTATATCCCCCTTGATTCTGATTCAGCAGGTACTGGATGATATGTGTTCACGTGACCAACTATCTTAGAAAGTTCCTAAGTTTCTATCCCCCATTGATTGTAGAACTGCTAGGGTTTTACCTACTTCCAAGATCCACAAGGCAGGAAATGTGGGGAGGCCCATCATTTCTGGAAATGGATCGCCCACTGAACACGTATCATTGTTCATTGACACTTTTCTCAAACCCGTTGTTCCACAGATCCCGTCATATATCCACAACATGCCAGACTTCCTACGAAAGCTGGAAAACATCAAGAACCAGATTCCCAGCACAGCCATCAATGGGACCAAATACTAACATTCCCCACGAAGAAGGTATTCGTGCCTGCTGCTCTACCCTCGTTCAGAGTGGACACAACTCCATCCACTAGCGATATTTATGAGACTTGTAGCCAACCAAGAACAATTTCTCCTTTATTGGCAAACACTATCTACGGGTACACGGCACAGCTATGGGCACTCGCATGGCTCCTTCCTTTGCTTGCCTCTTCATGGGTAACCCTGAAGGGGGCATGCTTGCTTCAGCACCATGTCGCCATTGGATCTTGGAGATACATTGATGATGTATTTTTCATCTGGGACAGTGGCAGTCTAGACATCTTCATAACAATATCAATTCTTTCCACAGCACAATTAAGTTCACTTCAGAATTTTCCCACCATCAGACAAACTTTCTATCAATAGGGCCCACTCCGTCCCCATAAATCTTGCACTCAAGGAGAAGCCCACCCTCCCCTCCCCGCCCCGAAGAAACTATCCCCAGGGTTCCCTTGGTCACCACTTTTCAGGCACGTCTTCCCCCCCTCCACAAAATCATCGACGACAATCATCATATCCTCTGCTCTTCAGACCCCCTTGCCAGTGCCATCCCAGACATCCCACTTTTGGCCTACAGGCGTCCCCGCAACCCACATAGGGACAGATGTGTTGTTTGCCAGAACCATGTCCTGGAATCTGGGCACTCCTCTGGTACCACCCACAGAACCAAAGGCACTATCACTTGTAGCTCTTCTAATGTCAGATGTCTTATCTCTTGCAGGGTGTGCAGTGTTTAGTGTGTCAGAAAGACCAAGGGCACTCTCGAGAAGTGTTTCTATGGCCACAGATCTAAGGTCAACACCAAATGACTAGATACCCCTGTGGGCCACTACTTCAACCTTCCTAACCATTTTATGTCTGACATAATCTTACAGGGCATAGAATCACTTAGGCACCATAATGATGCTTTTTGATTTAACAGGGAGAAGCTTTACATCAAATACGCACAAGGCCTGAACATCCAAGGGGGAAACTACTAATTAACAATCTTTTCTTTCACTCTCTATTGTCTTCAGATTATTAACCCCCTGTCCAGTTTGTTCCATTGTATTTTTTCTTTGATCTCTTCCCACCTTACATCCCTTTGTTGTTCAACCATGCCTTTCATGCAGTCCCCTTGCCC